TATTACTCTTTCAATTTGAACACTTGTGATTGGACTGTTTAAGCCATCTACTTCATCCTGGTTCAGTCTTGGGAGGTTAGAATTTGCCCATTTCTTCAAGGTTGTCCAGTTTGTTTGCATAGTCTTTTATAAAATATTCTATGATCCTATGTCTTTCCATAGTATCTGCTGTAATTTCATCGCTTTCATTTCAGATTCTATTAATTTCGGTTTTCTCTCTTCTTTAAAAGCATAGCTAATGGCTTGTGGACTTTATTTTCTCACAGAACCAATTCTTGGTTTCATTTATCTTTTGCACTGTTTTTGTTTTCTATTTCATTTATTTCTGCTCTAATTTTATTATTTCTTGCCTTCTACTGGTTTTTGGGTGCTTTTGTTGTTCTCCTAGTTTCTTCAACTGCAGTGTTAGACTGTTAAATTGGGATCTCTCTTGTTTTATTATGTGGGCCTGTATTGCTATGAGCTTCCCACCAGAACTGTTTTTAAAGCATCCCACAGGGTCTTCATTTTCACTAGTCCCTAGATATCTTTTCATATCTTAATTTGATTTCCTCATTGACCCAAGGGCTTCTTCACATATTTTGGTTTCAGCATTCCTTTTGTGGTTAATTTCTAGCTTTATATAGCACTGTGGTCTGTGAAAATGCTTCATATAATTTCTATTTTCATATACTTCTGAGACTTGTTTTATGTCCTAGTATGTAATCTATTCTTGAAAATGTTCCGTGCATACTGGAGAAGAAAGTATACTCGTTTTTAGGATAGAAAACTTTGTAAATATCGAGTAAATCCATCTGATCTAATACTTCATTTAAGAATTTTTATTTGTTAATTTTCTGTGTAGATAATCTATTTCTTTGTATCAGTGGTGTGTTGAAATCTCTGACAACTGTATTTTTGTTGATATATTGTTTTAGGTGTGTTAATAGTTGCTTTATATAACTAGGTGCGCCTATATTCAGAGCATATATATATTAATAATTTATCTCTCCTTCGTGAGTTGTTCCATTGATGATTATATAGTATCTATCTTTGTCTGAAAACCTTTTTAGTTGAAAGTCTAGCTTATTGAATATAAGAATAGCAGTTCCTAGTTCACTCTCTGAGTTATTAACATGCATTCCAGACTGTTACTTTATTCCAGACTGTTACTTTTAGTTTGTTTTTATGTTTTGATTTTAAATGGGTCTCTTGTAAACAAAGTACTAATGGCTGGAATTTTGTCACCCACATTGTTGGCCTATGTCTTTCTTTCGGTGAATTCAGACCATTCATAGTTAGGGTGATTATTGATATGAACTGTTAAATTTTCAGTCATTTTGTTTTTTGATTTTTTTTCTTTTTCTGCCGTTTCTTTCTACTCTTTCTGTATGGCTTTCCTTGGTATTTCTATCAATGTCTTTGCTTCTTCTTCTGTGGGTGTCTATTCTGGATTTTTGGTTAATGGTTGCCATGGGGTTTTACTTGAATTTCTATGTTTTGGGTCCTTTATGAGCTGGTATTTGTTCTCTGACTTTGTACTGGTTCTAGCCATTTCTACCTCCCCCTTAGTATTTGCTGATGTTGACTATTAGTGTTCTTGCTCTTGTTACTGGTATTACATTGCTCTTGTCATTCTGCTAAGGTGTTTGTGACTTCAGATTTTCTTTCCTTGTGGAAAAACTCCTTTTAATGTTACTAGAAGTATGGGTCTAGTGGTAGCCAAGACCATTAGTTTCTGTTTGTCTGAGAAAAACTTTATTATTCCTTCCTATTTAGTAATTTTGTAGGATAGAGAAGTCTTGGCTGAGAGTTCTACACTTTCAGGACTGTGAATATTTTCTTCCAGTCTCTTCTTGCTTGGAGTGCATCTAGACTGAAATCCAGAAAAATTGTAATTTGGAAGCTCTTATTATTTTTTTTCCTCTTGCTTCCTGTAAAATTTTATCTTTGATTTTTGATAGCTTGACAGTAATGTGTCTTTTTCATCTAAGAATTTAGGTATTCTCTCTGCTTGATAGACTTCATATTTAATTCATTCTGTAGGTTTGGTACATTCTCATTTATGACATTTTAAAATAGGTTTTCTAGTCCTATTTCTTTTTCCTCCCCTTCTGGGAAAGTTTCCTCTTCTAGCTGAATCCAACTTTTTTTTGTAGTTTCCTCATTTTTCCTTTGTCTTGAGAGTGTTCTTCTTTTAAACGAGTAATTTGTTTGAGTCTTCTACAGCTGAACTCCTGCAGTTTTGATGTTATTTAAAGCACTAAGTTTGTATGTATTTCATTCAGACTTTCTTTTAATGATCTTTTCATAAATTTAATCTCTTTGGTGAAGTACTCTCTTTGTTCCTGAATCTCCTTCTGAGGTCTTGAGTCTGCCTGCCTGCCTTTGAGTGGCTTTCCTGTATCTCATTTAATTTTTTTTAAAAGATTTATTTTATTTATTTATACAAGCACTGGGCACAGTTAGAAGCGCGGGAGGGTGAGAGAATTCACCAGAGCCAGAGGAGAGAGCAGAGCAGGAAGACTGACGTGGTACACTGCTGAGGGGAGCAGCGGGTGGCTGGAGAGGTCTGCGCGCCATGTGGGACCCTCGCCCAGCAGCCGGGGATCGAACCGACACTTTAGAGGCTGCGGGCAGCCTCGCAACCCAGTGCTCAACCGCTGTGCCACGGGGGAGGCCCTCTCATTAAATATTTTTCATATTGTTCTGAAGTCATTTTTGGATAGTTTCTCTATTTCTGTCTCCTTTATACTTCCGTCCTGGGACTTATGTCCTTTTCATTTTGTGAAGCATCTTGCTTTCTAGGTATGTATATTGCCTGATTTATTGTTATTTATGTGTGTTGTGGGGGGGCTGGGTCACCGGGGGTTTGTTCTCGTCTTAGTTTACCTTGATGTGAGGTAGAGGGAGGTGTCTGGGTTTTAATATTCAATCTTTTTTGAGGAGTGACAGTCACCTTTACCTGCTGTTTTTGTTCCAAAGTAAGCCTTATTCTGTGCTTAGGTTGTCTTCACCTCCCTGTCTGTTGTTCCTTTCTTCCAGGGATTGTGATCTATTGGGCTTCCCATCGGGCATCCCAATGGGAAGGGCAATATATGGATCTCTAGGCTCACATTCTGGGAATAACCTGCACTTGGCTTAAAGGCAGCACTGTGTGTGTAGCAGGCACATGTATGCCCACTTAACACTATGGCTGCCCACAAGTGGCCATTGCTGCTCTGCCTTGCCGCTCTGCCCTTGCTGTAGGTACAGCTTCTGCAGGGTTGAGAAGTATACACACTGTCAGTTTGCCTTTTCAAAGGATTTGTGAGTTCACTCTAAAGTTCTTCTTTCTGGGGCCTCCCCGGTGGCGCAGCGGTTGAATGCTGGGTTGCAAAGCTGCCCGCAGCCTCTGCAGTGCTGGTTCTATCACCGGCTGCTCCCCAGCCACCGGAGGAGGGTCCCACATGGCACGCAGACCTCTCCTGCCACCCGCTGCTCCCCTCAGCTATGTGCTTCGGTCCTTCTGTCTGCTCTGCTCCCCGCTCTGGCTCTGGTGAATTCTCTCACCCTCCCGCGCTTCTGACTGTACCCAGTGCTTGTAAAAATAAATTAAATAAATAAATAAATCTTAAAAAAAAAAAAAAAATAAAGTTCTTCTTTCTGGTGTAGAGCTTTTTATGGAGTCCAGCCTGGCTCCACCTGGCTTTTTTTTTTTTTTTTTTTTTTTTTTTTTAATCTCTTTCAGGAGAGGTGAGGATGGAAGCTTTGGGGAAAAACAATTTGAGTGACAGTAGTTTTCTCATGAAAAACCACAGGTAAATCAAAAGGAACATTTTTCATGGGCTGGAAAAAAAGCAGTCAACCCAAAATTCTACATTCAGTGAAACTACTCTTAAGAATGAAGTAATCAAGAAATTCTCAGATGAAGGAAAACAAAAAGAATTTCACCAGCAGACCCACCCTCAAAAGATAGCAAGAGAAAATTCCCTTAACATAAAGAAAGTGACAAAAGAAGGAATATTTAACAGAAAGGAAAAAAACAAATACAGAAAGAGAAAAATTATGGGTAAACACAATAAACATAAGACTTTTTGCTTTGGATGGCTGAAGCAAAACTTTCAACACTGAGGTGGTTCTCAAATTATGTAAGATAATTATAAGACAAACAGAGGGCTCTGATTTTAAAAAGGTAAGGTTTCTATCTTTATTCTAACTGGTAAAATGTCAACACGAGTAGACTAAGGTAAGTCATTCATGTACAGTGTAAATCTAAAGAAGCACTAAAAAAAATTATACAGCAATAAACTGTAAGGAAACCATACAGAAAAAATAGAATTCTGAAGAATGTTCAATCAACAGAAAAAGAGAAAGAAAAAATGGAAGACAAAAAAAGTAAAATGGCAGATTAAAGCTGTATCAATATATTAACAATCACATTAAAAGTATAAAGTATAAATTCACTGAACAGAAGAGAGAGTTTGGCAGAGTGAATGAAAACATAGCCTCCAACTGAGAAGGGAGTAGAGGAGGAAACTACCTCTGGGATATTCAGATATCAGTTAGGACAAAGATAGGAAAAACATTCAGAAATGGAATATGTTGGCTATTCAGTAATTTGTTGATAATACAGAGGAAGAGTTTGGTTTGGAGGGAAGCAGTAGAGGACTGGGCTAAAACATATTTCTAGAACAGCTAGTAAATTAAGTTTTAGCACCAACATCCTAATGCTGTGCTCTGTGGTGTCAAGGTTTGTAGAGGCCATCCACTAGGAAGCCTTTCCAACATCAATGATCCTATAACACCCCACTGACTGTATCTATCATTCAAAACACATTCAGTAAATATTGGTTAGATAAATTTATAATTCATCATAACCTGAGATTATATTTAAGAAAATAAACAGGAAATCAACTTAATAAAAGAATGGCATAGCAGTTTCATTTCTCTAATAATAAAATAATAAGTTGGTGTAAAATTCAAAGAACACAAAATAGAGAATTATTTCTAGCTGATTTTGGTAAAAGAAATATGCTTACTGTACTACAAGCTGTTGGCACACGGTTCCATTCTCTGTTATGAGTTCATTCAGTTTTAATTCAAGGTGAACTTTACCCTATAAAGACAAAATTACAAACAGTTGTTTATTTTACTGGCAATTAATGGCACGCACTTTTTAAAATGGTACCCATATTTACCCACTAACTAAACATCAATGATTCCTAGCACACAGCTTTGTCCACACTAACAATAATTACTTGTTAAATTTAAATTTATTACTTGCTAAATGACTAATCAATAACATAAGTCAAAAATCTGTTAGTACTCAAATGCATACATCAAACATAGTATTCAAATCTAAGGATTTTATACCCAGTTCAATAAAATATTTATGTATCTCAATTATCACAAATTAGAAAGGTAACACATGCTTTAGGAAATTTGAAATAAAAGCAAATTATAAAACACAGAAAGCTTTTTTCAGAAAAGACAAACCATCGATGAGGACAAAGGTACTATCATTAAAAAACAGAGAAAGCATACATTTCTAAATCGATTAAGCCAAAACTAAGAGCTTAAAAGCTAATTTTTCATCAAGTCAGATTTACTGGATATCTACTATGTTTTAGAAGGCATTCTGGGAGTGGACACAACTCTACAAATGTATAAGACATAGTCATTGCTTACGAAACAATGTAGTTGAGGAGACAATAAACAAGAGCATTGATGAAAAAATGGTATACTGAAAATAAAGGAGTATTTAATTAAAAAGTCATTAAGTAGATTAAAATGTTTTCAGTAGTATAAATTAAGGCAAATTATCAACTTCTCAAGAAACAAAGATGCAGTAACAATATATCTAGAGCTTGATGTTTCTACTCTGCCACTGGTGATGAACAATTCTAAACTGGTTGTGAGCAATTCTGAATTGGTTAAGAAAGAATGTTGCATTACCTCCACCCAACTGACAAGACAAATTCCCACGGTGCCTAGTGGAGATTTCAGGGGTGTGATGTCTAGGGGCTGATGACATAAGTAATTTCATCAGAGGCAGGAAAGTTCATTACCTAGTCACTGTTCCTTTTTGGAGGAACTCTTTCAGACATTCTTTCACAAAAATCTAAACATTGTATCTGCCTTACTACTTTATTGTGGATTTGTTATACAAGAATGGATGAGATTCACTAACTATAATGTTCAGGGTTAGCTAGAGAGTTAATGATGAGCAATAAATATTGATGGATCTCAACACAAAAACTTGCACAAGAAAGCTAAGCTCTAAAGAAACAAAGGCATCAGAAAACTAGCAGGTAGGTGGAACTGGAACTAAATTAAGCAAGTCTTCCACTAAAAACCTAAGGACAAATATTTATAAACCCATATATAATTTATAATATGGTCTTTTGTTAGTTCTGTATTTAATATTCATAGCCCCTATTATTCAAGAGTGACTTTGAAGATCCATGACATGTGGTCATTTGACTTTCACTGTACTAAAATTTTGAATCATGTTTGTTATGTCAGCACATGTGTTTCCCTTGTCTAGTGAGTGAACCTAGACAACTGCATCAAAGCAGTTTTACTATTTTAACATATATACATTTTATGGTAGAAATTGCATGCTAACAAGGCACTTCCAATTGTCCCTCAGGAAATGTCTAGGATCTACTCTATTCTAAAACAATAAAAACATTAAAATAGAAAAAAAACTTTCTAACAATTGATTCGCAACTAAAAATCATAGCACTGCATCAAGTCAAACCTAGAAATAAAAAGGACATTTAATGGAATTCTACTAGGAATCATTATTGTTGAGTCAGAGCCTACCTAATATGTTCATTACTCCCACTGACTGTTTAACAGAACATTCCTTTAGTATTAGTCAACAATCATGTAATTGTGAATTAACCAGGTAAAGAAAAGAGTGGGGACAGAGCGGGTAGTCACAAGACACATACTATTAGAGTGAAACACAAAAATTAAAACACATTATCAGTTAAATTAAGGAAACTATAGTCTCTAAACTGAAAAACACTATCATTATATACTTTAACACGGAAAGATGTACATGATACTTAGTAAAAGAAACAAGGTACAAAATAGGGTTTGGGAGATAATGTTAATTTGTAAAAATAAAACATACACACTATATACACTTGCTTGTGTATATATGTGTCTACCAAACATAGAAGTTACCTTTGGTTGGTAGGATTTCAGTTTTTCTTCTTGCTCATCTATATTTTTAAAGTTTCTACTACTATGTGTACTGCTTTCAGTAAAGAAGAATGAACAAAAGTTTTAAAAATTATTTGAAGCTGCTTTTTAGTTTGAGAATCATATCTGCAAACATTTTAGAAAAATTATTCAGCATTACTGATTATCCACACAAAAGTTCAGTTTTACTTTTATCTGTCAACATTTTATAGATTTGAATTGTTGCAAAACAACTTTTATTGTTTTGTTTTTGTTTTTGGAGAGGGCAGTTAAGAGCTCAGCAAAATATTTCCTAGTCTTCCTTGAGGTAAGGGATAGGTGCCTAAGGATACTCATATGCTACAGTTCTGGCCAATCAATGTAGGTAGAACTTGCTGGTGGGACATCTGGAGAAGCTTGTTGATTGAAAAGGACTGCCTAACTTCAGCACTGGTCTCAGAGACTGAGAAACTTAATCTAAGCTTTCCACACTAGGCAGATAAAAACTAGAGCCCAGAGCTCAGAGGCAGAATGGTCCTGGTAAAATTTAGGCTTTCTGTTCGAACACGTATAGAATTATGCCTGAGGAGTAAGAATGAACTTCATAGAACAGCCTTTACAAAGAATGAAACCTAGCCTGGAATCAGTCAAATTCCTATCTGGATTAAGATGTCAGCCTCTAGCCTAACCACATGCCAAAAGCAAAAATAAATCCTCTCTGGAGGAAGGAAAAAATAGCCAGAAACTCAATTTCTAAAATATTTCATATTTCAATGTTCAGCAATCCATCAAAAATGAAGCATGACAGAAGACCAAACACATACAAAGTTGACAAAAACAGAGGATTTATAGGGGACGCAGATGTTGGAATTAGAACTGACAGAAATTAAAACAGCTATTTAGATAAATTGAGACAGAAAACAAAAAACCTAGCAAATAATTGGGAAACAAACAAAAAAAGAATCAAATGAAAAAATTAGAATAAAATAACCAAAATGAAGATGTGTTTAATAGCAGATTGACTACAGCTAAAAAGAGGATTAGTGAAATGGGAGCTAAATTACTCAGTAGAAAATATCCACAATGAAATAACAGAGAGCATGAGACAGTAAAATAGTCTATTCACGTACTTAAAGTCCCAGAAGAGAGGAGAAAGAAAGACAAGTAAAGAATAGAAGAGATAAATGCCTGGAATTTTCCAAACTGATGAAAAACAGAGGTAGACTTAGAAAACCTTTAAACACTCAACTAGAAGAAATAAAAAGAAAACCATACATAGGCAAGCCATAGTATAACAGCTTAAAACAGAAGACAGAGAAAACTCTAAAAGCAACATTAAAAGAAAAAAAAACAAAGAAACCTAAAGAAAAGTTAACAATAACACTCAGAGAAGTAACTATGTTTAATGATAAACATGATGTGATTTGTTCCACAACTGCTTTCTTATGATTCAACTTCCTATAAGACAAAAAGCCTATCTTTTACACACTTAAGAAAATGTTGTAAAGTTAGGTATCCAACACCGCATTAGCTGTTTTAAAAATAAACCAAATTCTCACATGGTATAGTCTACACATTCCACAATTTGATTATGTGAAGCTGACATATGTAATTACTTCACATTAATTGTAGGCAAATTTGGGAACATATTCTGGTACTGTCTGAAGATTTAATATTTTATATGCTAACTTTATTTCAGTTATTTGAAAATTTTTGCAGAAAATCTGATCATTTTAATCTTATGTATATTCTTGGTGCCATACAAAGATGTCATGTAAATTTTTTCATACATACAGCTTGGCAAACTCAGATGAATATAGGTATGGAGGCAAAACACAATGCATACACTTAAAAAGCCTCAAGTCTAGACATTTTATTAATTTTAATCACAAAATACTAAATTTAATAACCATTCCACAAAAAAGACTCAGTCTGTTTCAACTGGTGCAAAGTTTTCTTCATATGAGAGGGAAGAAATTCCAACTTCTAGATTTCTGATGAGTGTTTTCATTTATACCAGTAAATCTGTAATCATTTGACTGTCAGATGAAACACAAAATTAACATTTACTTAATATCTCTTAATTATGGACAGATTTGTTTTCTCCTTAAAGAAGTACTCATTATGATATAGAAATGTTCATTTCTTTGTTATTCCATTAAGAATAAAGTTTTTAAAACTCAACCCGCAACAATGAAAAAAACCTTTACACTTTATCTTAGTAATGTGAAAAAAAATATGGCTGGGAAAACTGGAGAACTACATGCAGAAAAATGAAACTAACCACTCTCACACCATACACAAAAGTTAACTCAAAACATATTTAAAAGGCCTCTTGGTAAGACTGAAAACCATAATATATATAGAGGAAAACATAGGTAAAACACTCTAAAACACTGGCTTTAGGGATGTCTTTGGGAACTTGACTCCAACAGCAAGGAAAACAAAAATGAAAACAAATGAATGGGACTAAATCAAGCTAAAAAGTTTCTGTACAGCAAAAGAACTATTATTAAAATAAAAGTATTCATACATTATATATCAGACAAAGGTAAATATTTAAGATCTACAAAGAATTCATAATACTCAACCAAAAGAAAACAAAGAATCCAGTCAAAAAATGGGTAGAAGAGCTAAAAAAGACACTTCTCCACAGAAGACAGATGACAAATAGGCACATGAAAAATGTTCAACATCATTTATCTTCAGGGGAATGCAAATCAAAACCACGATGAAATACCACCTTACTTCAGTGAGGTAAAACAAAAAGCAGAAACAGAAATAAATGTTGGAAAGGGTGTATAGAGAAAAAGGAGCAATGTTAATGGGAATGCAGACTGGTCCATCTCTTACAGAAAAGAGTATGGAGGTTCCTCCAAATATTAAAATAGATTTACCATCGAACAGCAATTTTACTCCTAAGTATCTATCCAAATAATACAAAATTATTAATTCAAAGGGATACACACACTCCTATGTCCACTGCAGCATATTTACAATAGCTAAGTTATGGAAACAACCAAAATGCCCACTGACACAGCAGTGGATTAAAAAGATGTGGTATATATGCACAGTGGACTACTCCTCAGCTATTTAAAAAAAATGAACCCTTATGACTTGTGGCAGCATGGATGGAATCGGAGGGGATTGTGCTAAGTGAAGAAAGAAAGAAGGAGAAATACAAATACTGGATGATTTTACTCAGATGTAGAATACAGAGGGGAAAAAGTAATCAACTAATGTAAAACAAACACTAGAAATATGAGTATAGAACTGAGGGTAGTAGTAGAGGAGGAAGGGTTGAGAGTAGTTACAAAGGTGGGGGGGGGTCCAATGGCCTAAGGTCCAATGGACTATGGATGCTTTGATGGTGAGGGTGGTGTAGAAACATACATGTGAGGTGTGAACCTATTCACCTAAATCATACACAGTGTTGTAGAACAATGTTACCTCAATAAAGAAAAATGAAAACAAAAAATTTTCTAATGAAAAAACTATGCATGTATTATTAGCTATAATCACTATCATATTTAAATAAATATGAAAAATTTAAATACCAAAAAAAAAAAAAAAACCTATGAAACAATCAATAACTTGACCCAGAAATTCAAGATAAGCTTGTTGGTAAAGACTTATTAACTAAGTAATTACATCAGAAGGATGTGACTGACAGTGCATCTGGATTTACTGCCTGTACAAGTTGTGTGAGACAAACACCCTTAATTAATGAGAACACCAACTTCTTCTAATGAGATTTGGTTTGAACAGTCTTTAAAAAAGGCGTTCTCTTTATCATAGCATCCAATAAATAGAGGAAAAAATAAATAGTTCGTAGTGAGTTCCAGAATCAAATAGCTAACAGCACGGCCACTAAAAGAGAATTTATATAAAGAGACGCCTTTACATGGCAAAGAATATGAAGAAAGAACAGCAAGTGAAGTAGGATAATAATGAGAACCAGAAACTAGGGATGGGAGTGGTTTACAGTCTAAAAAGCTACAAAAAAGTAATGGGGACTGAAAAATAACCATTAGACTAATGAAACAGTGTAATGGGTAACATTTGAGATAATTGTGTTCTCCTGACCCATGACAGGGTCTAAAGAGATTAGAGTGGGTTGAGAAAAAAATGGTTCAACCCAGGATGAAAACCTACAAAACAGTCAAAAATAAGAAAAAGCAAGTAAAGAAAAATTAGAAAAAGCAAGTATTTCAAGAATTTATGAAATATTACTAATAATACCTTGACATTTGAAAACTGAAAACAGTAAATGTGACTTAAGACAAAAGAATCTGGGAAATCCTTCACGGTAAGAAGTTAAGAGTTCTTAGCAACTTTTTGACTCTTTTGGTGTAAGATCCGTTTTACTATTTAGAATCTTTCAATTTGAGGGTTTAATTATATTCTGCATGTTATTTCCCTAGAACTTCAGAAATAAAGAGATATCCTATTTAGCTAAGTTTTCATTTCATAGATGTAGTTCCTGAGATAATAAAAGTTCAGCAACTAGTTTGGGTATAATACCAATAAGTGGTAGAGCTAGGACGTCAAACATCTCCTGTGAAGTAGAAATACCAGTCATTTCTTCTATGCAAACCCACTTCTTCAGGAACATGACTTCACAAAGACTAGAAATGAGCTAGCTATCTACAGTGATTTTATTCACAATCCTATCAATTAGTCTACAGTGGACATAATGACTCAAGTTTGGCCAAATTCTCTAACTTGGGGCAGAGACTGAGTCAGATCTTAGAGTGAGGGGACAATCTGTCATGTATATGCAAAGGCTAATGTGACATTTTTCAAGCTATCAATAAGAGATCACAGTGGATTTACAGAGAGAGGCAAGAAATAGAGATACTTGTCTCATAAGACATACAAAAAGAATACAACAGGATCTCATCGTTAAATAAAATTTGATTCTTTCCCTTTCACTTTACAAAGCGAATAGTTATTAAAATGAGAAAGATAAATGAATCTGTGAGACTCAGCTCCTACATGTCTCTAGTGGTATCTATTTCTGCAGAGTGGAAGACTATATTTTGAAAATAAAGTAGGTATTTTTTGTTCACAATGGCCTCAAAGGCAAGTCAATTATTTAATATAGTAGTCAACTAAAAACAAATCACACACCCAATACTTTAAAGAACTTTATGAGAAATTAAAGTCTTTTCAAATATAATTTTGATTGTATTAACTGTGTCTAATCTGTTACAGTAAGAACCTGACCTCTACTTAAGACGAACTTCTCCACAAATGCCTGCCAACTTTCTCTCACTGACTATACTGAACTTCCTGGAATTAAACACTCCAAGATAATGCCTAGAACTTTCTAATGCCCCCTCCCTATTTATTTGAGGCAATTTGAATAGACTTCTGTCCCTTATATTGAAATGTTCCCTAAGTGATTCTCCTAATAACCTTCTTTGGAGCCTATTTATGACCAACAGTACAGAAAAGTGAAATGCAGTAAAGCACTGTGGTTATTATGAGCTATAGAATCAGACCAGACCTCTACTGGCATCATGATTCCATCATTAAGTAGTTCTGTTACTTTGGATATATCATTAACTTCTATGAGTCCATTTTCCTCATTTGTAAAACGGAGGTAACACTACGTACTTCCTAATGCTGTTCTGAAGACTAAATGAGATTGTGTATAATAAGCACTTAGTACTGTGTTTGGTATATACTGTTGTGATTACTAAAAGAAATTACTAAAGGATGAGTTCCTGCACAACTCTGTCTCACAACTTTCTTCTATGGTTCTATCAATGGATCATATTTTTATAAAATTGATGCAAGTCAACAAATTCATTAATAAAATAAGATTTGTATGAACCATGAGCTGCTTTTCCATCTTTCTTAGACTTACAACATTAATTTAATATTCCTAGATCAGTTCTGGGTCCAAACAACAATATTCTCAATGGTACCATATATCTGTCCCATTCCCTAAATTTTTTCTTCTAAAATTTATTTTAAATAATGAGTAGAACTTACTAATTAATGAAGATCACTTAAGACAAAACAGCTGTAAAGGTCAATAAATCATGGTCATGAAAATAAAATCATAGCAAAAAAAATTAAAAGCTGACATATATATAAGTAAATCCTGTTTCCAGAATGATCATGTTTAGAGATGTTTAAAAATATCATTAAATAAAAGTATATTACCCAATACTGATATCTAATACCATCTCTAAGAATTATATAAAAAATATTCTATATAGATTTTTACTATATAAGAGCTGGGCCCCTATTAGCAAATTTACATTGACCATAAGAAAAGAAAGGACTTAATAAACTTCATTTTTAAAAATCCTTAAATTTCATTTTAGGCCAAATTCTCAAAGTCTATTTTTAACTTGCTTTTTATTTAAACTATTAAAAAGAAAATCTGGTACTTTAAAATTTTTGTATCTTCCTTTTGGTAAAGGCTTATCAGGGAAACGGTTGCCTAACAGGCAATATTTTACATTTGTACAGTATTTCAGCTTTCAAAGTACCCTTAAAGGTATTTCACTAAATTCTCACAATGCTTCGAGTCAAACAAGGCAATTTTTATTTCCATTTTGTAGTAATCAAATTCAAGGTCAGTAAAGTAATATATGAAAACTAGGATCTAAATTTTCTAACTTCTAGTTTAAAACTCTTTCTACTTCATCAAAATACCTCTGATCAGATCATTTACCACACTGTATAACTGAGCTCTGAATAACAGTTATCACCAAATGGTAAGAACATATAAAATAGGTTAGAATGAGTAAAATAGGAAAAGTTTCAATTATATTTTGTACATTAAAATGGGCCTTGGAGAATTTATCAAAGAGAATGCTTGAGAGGTTATGAGGAAATAGAGTCACAGGAACTCGTTTTGCAAATATCAGTGGGCGTGTGTGCACTTTTTCTCGTCTTAAACTTCTGTTTGAGTCACGCTGGCAAATTACAATTTCATTTAGAGAGGAAGAATTCTACTTGCAGTTGTGCCCTCGAGAAATGGTTTTACAATCCTTACCCTATTTTATAAATTAAAAAAAGGTTATAAAAAGAGGATTCCCTTTGGATTGAAATAACAATTTCTAAGAGCAAATCAGACTTTTCAGAAACAAATAGAAACTTAAGCTACATGGTTAAACATACATCTTCAGTCACACACAGAATCTGTAAGAACTGTTATTTGGGCAAGTGGAAAGAAGAGCTTTATAAAGAATAATGATATCCTTTTAAAAAAAAGAAAGGTGAACAACAGGAAGGGTGGGTGTGGGAATGAAGGCTCTGCAGTGGTGGGTTCAGGCATGGTTCGAATGAATAATCTTTTCCAAGTCTAGTTTATTAGAGAGTAAACAGAGTATCCTGATCAGAACAGATGAAATCACAGGACTCTAGGGAGTCTTCTCCAAAATAAGAATTAATAAAATATATTTTTTCCTTTAAAGCCTTGTCCCCACTTTAAAAAGCAAGTAATAATTTGCTACTACAATTCAAGCAAAAAAGGGAAAAAAAGTGCCCTCTAATAAATATACCCTCCCAAGCTCATATATGTGTTCATACATACATAATTATTGTTAAATTTATGTAGCAAAGACTTTTTGTTCCAGCTATGTATTATCCAAAGTTCTATAATATTTAATGTCAAAATTTTAAAAAAGATGTAATAAGCTCTAGCTATCTGAATTAGTATAGTTATTTTGCTTTCACCCGTTTTCTGTGTGTGATAATCGCTAATATTACTTAAAACTTAATATTTACCTGAACCTCTGAATTGCAATCAACAGGCTGTAGTGAAAACCAAGTTTCTTTGCCACTGTGGTTACACAAGTCTTCTTTTTTAATGGCTACTTTTCCTAAAGGAAATAAATAAAACAATATGAAGAAACATATTTTGTAAAATCAAGGCACTGTTTTAATACACTGTAGAAAATATTTAAAATAATTTGTAGCTGCTGACATTAAAAAAATCTGCTTTTATAACCATTTTTCTATATTCTAAAGAATGACAGACTCATTTCCCCTTGTGCCTTGGGAGAATCTTCTCTGGATGATTCTGAATCAGGAGATTAGACAAAAAGTCAGTTTAAATGAAAACGCATTTTTAAAATACTTATCCAGATTCACATTTTCATTCAAAGTATATTCAGTGTCAAAAGCAATGTACAATGATAATGCAAACTAACCCTTACAGTTCCTTAAGACTATGAATAAATCATATGTTCGGAGTAGATATTTGCATTTAAGAGTTCATGGGTTCTAGTTAAGAGAAAAAGTAAAACAGGAGGTATCACTAATAATATTGAAAACTGACCTGAAAATTATGGGCTATTAAAACAACTATTTTATTTCAGTTTGCTTTTATCAAAACACTGCAAATGCTGTTTATGTTGCTTCAATGCATATGAAAAAAAAAAATCAAGGCAGTTCTCTGAAGAGTTTCCATCTCTCAGAGATACAGTACAATGAACAAAGTAGAGAGGAAGGAACAGAAATGTTCTTATTATAATGAAGTACTTGCCATGTTGGTATAAAGCATTTCCTTCCTCAATTCAAGTTTTAAGAAGTAGACACAGTTTTGCATATGACTGACAAATTAATCCAAGATTCTACACAAAAGCTTCAACAAAGAATACATATCAAAACAACTTTATTTTATCAAACAAGAATTCTCATTAAGTGCCCTAATTATACTTTTCCCTTTTATTTATAACCAACCTTAATCTTATAGTTCAATGTTTAAAAACATTAAGAAAAAAGTAAAGAAAGTTTCCTATCAAGGTAAGTCCTTTTCCACTTGTCTATCAAATGGAAAGGAAAGGCAGACAAGAAAAACAAAGCTATCTTTAAATTTTTTTTTTCAGTTTTTTTTTTAAAGAAGTGGGGTATAGGCCAGAGTTGTGGGGGGTGAGAAGACCCACCAGAGAGAGTGGGGAGCAGAACAGGCAGATATACCAAAATACACTGCTGAGGGGAGCAGCAGGCAAGACAGGAGAGATTTGCCGTGCCATGTAGATATCTCCCTGGCCGGCTGGGGATCGAACCCACACCACAAAGGCCACGGACAGCCTCACAGCGCTGTTCTCAAACCCCTGCACCACAAGGGAGGCCCATCTTTACATTTTTAAATGGAAATAGACAATGGTGATGGTTCACAACTCTGTAATAATCACTGCAAAGTGCTCTATGAAGGGTATGTAAATTGCACCTCAATAAAGCTGTTATTTTAAAACCTTAACCATATTAAAATTCTTGATAAAATTATCTTCCTGTTCATTACTTAGAACTCAAATTACAAAGATTACCTAAATGTGTGTAATTTTATTTTTTTTTTTAAGATTTATTTATTTATGCATACAAGGACTGGGGTACAGGCCAGAGGTGTGGGGTGGGGGAAGAGGATTCACCACAGACAGAGAGGGGAACAGAACAGGCAGACTGACTGAAATACACTGCTGAGGGGAGCAGTGGGAGAGACAGGAGAGGTCTGCTGCACCATGTGGGTTAGCTCCCTGGCTGGCCGGGGATCAAACTCATTTTAAGTAGCTGTGGACAGCTTCTTAGGTTGTGTCTTAACCCCTTGCACCACCAAGGAGGCCCAATATGTGTAATTTTAAAGAAAACATTAAAATACAGAGATATACATACATTTTCATTACAACAGGAGCTGTATTAAAATACAACCCAAATAAGAACTATAGAAACTGCATCTATCAACATATAAAGCTTAAGACATGTAAAATGAAAAAATTTATAAATTGGAGAAGCCCAGTTACATTGCTGCATGCAAGGATCGCTCCAGGGAAGGGCCCAGCTATTTTACAGACCATCTGGTGAGTGCCCTGAGTAGTGGGACAGAGACTCTACCCCAACAGAACCTAAAAACACAGACACAGAGCAGCTTTTCTTCCTATCAGATAAAGAATTCAAAACTGCCATATTAAGAAAATCAAAGAATCAGAACGATACAAAGAAAACTCAGAAAAACAGGTATGAGAAAACTCAGAAAAGGTAAAGAATGCTATCAGAAACACAATCAGTAAACAGAAGATTAAGATCAAAACTTTAATAATGGACCTGTAAGATGTAAAAAGAGCAATGGAGGATATAAAAAATTCTGGAGAAAGCCATGGAAAAAGTCTAAATGGAAGAATGAATCAATAATTTCAAAGATGCAGATATGAAAAGAATCAAGATAGAACAAGAGAGATACAAGGAAAAAGAATGAAGACCACTTTAAGAATTATCTGAGATCACGAGGAAAGGAAATAAAAGAATCATAGTAATCTGAGAAGGAGAAGAGAGAAGGGAGCTGAAAAACTAAGGAAATAATTGAAGAACATTTTTCAAACTTGAAGAAGAAAATGGACACAGAAATGCAGGAAGCTAAGCAGATACCAAAACACCTAAATAAAAGGAGATCTACAGCAAGACACAGCAATAAAGCTTCCAAGAGTCCAAGACAAAGAAAAATAATGAAGTTGACAAGGGGGAAAAAATGGATAATCTGTTAAGGAACGCTGATCAGGCTAACATTAGATTTCTTTGAAGAAACACTATGGGCATGAAAAGAATGGAGTGACCTATTCAAAATACCCCAAGATAAAAAAAAAAAAAAATGCCAGAAAGATTACTTTATCCTGCAACACTCTCCTTAAATGAGTGAGAAATAAGGACGTTCTCAGACAAATAAAATCTTTGGGAATTTATAACCAAATTAAACTCGCCTCTCTCCTCCGAAGAAATTTTAAAAGGAGCTATAGGATTTAAACCAAAGAGAGCAATGAACATGAAGAATTGAACACAGAACTAAATAGAACCACAAAACTAGGAACAAAATGGCAGTAACAGACTTCTACATATCAATAATCATTCTAAATGTCAATGGACTATTCTGAGTACACCAATAAAAAGACACATAAAAACAGAAGTATTATGTTGGAGTAGGAAACAGAATCCAACCTTCCGCTGCCTCCAGGGAACACACCTATGTTGCAAAGATAAACAACAGACTCCAGGTAAAGGATTAGAAAGCAATTCTACAAGCAAATGGAATCCAAAAGAAGATAGTGAATACTATATTTATATCAGATTTAGACTTAACAAGAGACAGAGATAATTAAGGGGACAAGTAGGAAGACATAACACTCATCAATATATACTCACCATATGAGGGAGCACCAAAATACATTAGAGAATTGGGGCCTCCCTGGTGGTGCAAGGGGTTAAGACGCAGCACTATGAAGCTAGAGTTTGATCCCCAGCCTGGGACATGACCCACATGGTACAGCAGACCTCTCCTGTCTCGCCCACTGCTCCCCTCAGCAGTGTATTTTAGTATCTTCCTGTTCTGCTTCCCACTCTGTTTCTGGTGAATCCTCTCACCCCCTCAATCTCTGGCCTGTACCCCAGTTCTTGTATGCATAAGTAAATAAATCTTTTTAAAAATACATTAAACAATTACTATCAAATCTGAAAACAGACAATGGAAAAAACACATAGGTGGTAGGAGATTTCAACAGCAGTGACAACAGAAAAAACACAAGCACACAATTGCCTGAAACTATGATCTAGACCACATGAGCCTAACAGACATTTATAGGGTACTAAACTAAAAAACAAACAAACAAACAAAAAAAACCCCACACCAGAAAACTGAGTACACATTTTTCTCAAGTACACATGGATCCTTCTCTACTACTGACCACATACTGGGTCACAAGACATATGTCCATGAAGATTGAAATCAGACTAAGTACCTTCTCTGACAATAAAGTTATCAAACTAGAAATCAACTACAAAAAGCAAGTAAACAAATCCTCCAATACATGGAGACTGAAAAACATACTACTGAAAAGCCACTGGATTAATGAGGAACTCAAAGAAGAAATCAAAAAATTCCTTGAGACAAATGATATTGAGGACACAACCTTCCAGAACATATGGGACACAGAAAAAGTAATAGGAGGAGGAAAGCATCTAACAATGTAGGCTCACATCAAGAAATAACTCAAAGAAACAACGTAATCTCTCATCTTGAGAAACTAGAATAACCAAAAAAACCAAAAGCCAGTAGAAAGGAGGAAATAATAAAAATTAAAGCAGAAATACAATGAACAGAAGTCAAAAAGATAGCCCAAAAGATCAATGAGACCAAAAGCTTGTTCTTTAAAACAATAAACAAAATAGGCAAACCTCTAGCTAGGTTCACAAAGAGGGAGAAAACTCAAATAAATAGGAACATAAATGAAAGAGGAAAAATTACGACACAGCAGAAATCCAGAAGTTAACAAGCAGGTACTATGAACATTTATATGCAAACAAGTTCAATAATCCAGATGAGATGGAAAAATTATTAGAATTATACAATCACCCAAGGCTGAATAAGGAAGAAATGGAAAACCCGAAGAAACCAATTACAAGAATCAAAATTGGAACAATAATCAAAACTCTTCCCAAAAAAACAAAGGCACAGGACCAGATGGTTTCATAAGCGAGTTCTACCAAACATTCAAAGATGAACTAATACCAATCCTGCTCAAATTCTTTCAAAAAACTGCGAAGGAATATTTCCAAATACATTTTATGAGGTCAATATCACTCTTAACACCAACATCACACAGACTTCAGGTGATGACCCTTAGTCTACTACTTCCAGGATTTCTTGTTTTATACATAGTTTATAATATAAATGTGCATGCACATATTTGTATATATGTAAAATATACAAATGTCACTAATGCAAGCCCCAACTTAAAAACATAGATGTTAAAATTCTCAATAAAATCTTATCAAACAAAATCCAACAATGCATTAAAAGGATTATGCAACATGGACAAGTAGGATTTATACCAGG